GATCCCCTGTGGGGAGCATGAAGAGGGGCTCAGGGGGGCCCAGAGGGGCAATAGGAGTGTGGGGGAACCACTCAAGCCTGTCTGTCTGCAGCCTGCCACATCCTGGAGTGCTGTGAGGGGCTGGCACAGAGCGTCATCAGCACAGTGGGACAGGCCTTTGAGCTGCGCTTCAAGCAGTACCTGCACAGCCCCCCCAAGGTGGTGATACCCCCGGACAGGTATGGGGGATGAGGGGCCCTGCTACAGCCCCTGTTCTGGGTACATCCCCTGGCTGGAGGTGGCTCTGGGAGCCCCTGTCGCTGCTGGATGTGGGGAGGGTCTGAACCAGGCAGAGTGTCCCCAGCTCACCGTCCCTCCTGCAGGGCACTGGGTGCTGAGGAGTCGGCCTGGGGGGAGGACGAGGAGGTGGCCGAGCACGACTACTACAACAGCATCCCAGGGAAGGAGCCCCCACTGGGGGGGCTGATTGACTCCCGGCTCCGTCACGGCACAGTCCCGGGTCACGTCCACACTCAGCCCTCCAGCTCTGTCCCCTCCAACCAGGTGAGCCCCCAGGGCCACTGCTGGCCCCGCTGTGGGGGTCCCAGGCAGGGTCTCCCCAACACCCTGACTGTCTCCTTTCCCAGGGCGGGTTTGCAGCCAGGCGAGACCCTAACGGCCAGCCGGGGCCACCCTGGGACCTGGAGAACCAGGGTGGGTACTGCTGGGGGGGAAGCCATAAGTCAGGGGGGTCCCCATGGCTCTGCCCAGTCCTGGCCAGCAGTGATGCCCATCCTCCCAGGCCAGCCCTGCGACGGGTACCTGCAGGCGGATGGCCATTCCCTGGGGCCACGGGACTACGAGGAGCACATGTACGTGAACACGCAGAGCCTGGACGCCTGGGAGCCGGAGGCAGCGGCTCACGGAGTGACAGAGGAGAGCCCCAGAAAGGACCTCTTTGACATGAGTAAGCCACTGCACCATGGAGGCTGGTGCTGGAGGCTGAGCTGTACTGTCAGCTGCCCAGCCCACCTGCCACAGCCCTAGAGGTGCTGGCACTGGCCGAGTCCAGAGCAGTGCCCTGCAGAGCACTGGGGGGCTGTGAGCCGGGGCCTGCCCTCACCACACCCTAGCCCTGCCTTGTGCCCCAGGGGTGACACCCTGCACCCCCTGGCTCCTGCAGGGCCTTTCGAGGATGCCCTGAAGCTCCATGAGTGCCTTGCAGGGGGTGGCACCAGCCCCCCCATCGAGGACCAGTGGCCGAGCCCCCCCACACGGAAGGCCCCCATTGCCCCCACGGAGGAGCAGCTTCGGCGGGAGCCCTGGTACCACGGGAAGATGAGCCGACGGGATGCTGAGAGGCTCCTGCAGATGGACGGGGACTTCCTGGTGCGGGACAGTCTCACCAACCCGGGGCAGTACGTCCTGACCGGCATGCACAGCGGGCAGCCCAAGCATCTTCTGCTGGTGGACCCTGAGGGAGTGGTGAGGGCAGGGCACGGGGGTGAGGGCAGGGCCCAGGGTGGGTGATTGGGACCGGGGTAGGGGCAGGGCATGGGGTGGGTGGTGTGGAACACGGACTGCAGGTGTGGTCAGGCACAGGGGTTGCAAGGGGATGCTGAGTGCAAGGCAGGTCTCCTGAGTTCAGGACCGCTGTGCCCCAACCCCAGGTAAGGACCAAGGATGTGCTGTTTGAGAGCATCAGCCACCTCATCAGCCACCACCGGCAGAACGAGCAGCCCATTGTGGCAGCGGAGAGCGAGCTGCACCTCCGCCAGGTTGTACAGAGGAAGCAGTGACGCCGGGGATACGTCCCTGATCTGCTCCCCTGGCACTGGACTCGCTCAAGTCCTGGGGCAAAGCTGCAGTCCCTCTGTGCTGCCCTCCCCCGGTTGTGCCTGGCCTCTGCAGTCTGGGGTCAGGCTCCCCATCTTCCTCCCCAGAGGGGTCTTGCAGTCCCTGGCCCTGTGAGTCCCCCCCGGCTGCTGCCTACCTCCATCAGCCACACGGAGCCCCTTGCCCAGCCAGACAAAAAGACATTTAATTCCACGTGTGCAGGCGAAACACTGTCAGGGTGGGAACTGGTGGGCAGCCTCAGCAGGAGGAACGGAGCCTGAACCCATCTTTGGCAGGGCTGCCCCTGCTTGTCCCAGCACTGGGACGAAGGCTGGTGGGAATCATTGTAGCCTCCGGCTTAGCTCTACCTGTGGGGCCAGGCACAAACATCCCCTGGAAGCAGGACTGAGCTGCTGGCACCGCCTTGGAGGGCTGGGGCTGCTGGGGAGCAGAGATATCCCATGGTCCATGAAGACCCCCTGGCTGCTTGGGGCTTTGGCAGGTTTTTATGTCACACACAGCCCCTTCCCCCCTGTACCTGGTGCTCGGTGCGAGTTCGTGGTTTGGAATGCATTTGTAACTAAACCTGGAAATGAGCAAGGCACTCAGGTGGTTCATGCCACCCCCGGGCATGGTGCTGGGACAGGTCTCCATCACCACCAGTGCCTGCCTGGTCCCACCTTGGCTGACCTGTCCTGTCCAGTCACATCTCTCTCTGCCCCCCTGGGTCACCCTGTCCCCCGTGGATCACCCACTGTCCCCCTGGCTTCGGAGTGGGCTTTGGCACCCCGGGCTGGTCCTGCACCGCATTCTCCTCCTTGCAGCTGGCGGCTCCCTGCCCTGCTGGCTCCCCTCCTGCCTCCGCCTGGGGCAGCACGTGGCTGCCCACCTCTGGGCCTCCTGCCATGGCCAGGCCAGCTCCAAGTGGCACAGAGCCAAGCTGTCACCCACTGGTTAATGTGGCAGCCAGTGGAGCAAGAGTCCTGGGTGGGCCTCACTGCAGGTCCTGTGCTCCAGGTGGGCAGCAGCCACCTGGTGGGTCCAGCACCACTCCCAGCAGCTGGTGGCCTGTCCTGGCTCTGCCCTGTGTGCCTGGTGCTGCCACGGGCACCCACCTTGGGGAGCAGGGTCACCCCAGCACCCTCAGCCCCTTGCTGAGGGAACAGCTCTCACCAGACAAGGCAGCCATGCTGGCCAGTTTTGGTTGAGCCAATGAATAAAATAAGCCCCTAAATAAAGCCCAGTAATGAATGCGTAATTTTCCATTGATAGTTGGATTCTGCGGGGACGTGGCGCTTCTATCTCAGCTACTATTTTTTGTCATATGGTGATGCATCTGCAAAGATAATTGCACTGTTCCCTCAATAGAAGGGCAGGAAAAGGCAGTGAGGGTCCCAGCTCTCTTCTTTTGCTTCTGTAGAACAAGCCCATGTGGTTCACTGGCTGCCGCTGGCACTGCCTGGCCCAGCAGACCTGGGGATGCTGCCCTGAAGGAATGAAGGGCTAGGAGGGGGTTTGTTTTAGGGGTTTAACCACTTTGGTTGAGGGTGGGGTGTGGTGCTCGTGGGCACAGGTGGCTCTGTGACCCCCACAGCTGGGTTGTAGGGCTGCTGCTTCTTCAGCCTGTGTGATGATGGGGAGGCTGAGCAATTTGGGGAGGGTTTGGAAGCCACAGAAGAGCGGCTGAAGAGGGATGTGGCCTCCTTGCTCTCCCAGGACCTTGGGGATCTCGACGACCAACGGTCTCTCCACCTGTCTCAAATGTGCCAGCAACAGACACTCCTTGGTTTGGTTTTCCATAGCGTCCTGGCACAAGCCCCTTCCCATAGAAGGACTCTCTCCTTCCCGGCTTCCAGCAGGTGGTAGCACACTGCCGGCTCCACCGGCTCCGTCCCCAGCCCTGCCAGTCCGCAGTCAGGCAGCTCCCAGCACTCTGCTCCCCTCCGTGCCCCACAGGCAGAGCTCGCCCAGCTCCAGCGCTCTTTGTTGTCTCAAGGGAACTCAACCATTTCTGCACCTTGTTTACCCACCGGTTTGCAGGGTGGAGGAAAAGCAAACACCGGCCTTTTGTTCACCAGCCGCCCCTTCCGTGAGCCTCATCCTCCTCCTGCGGACTCCATCTGCCCTCCCCCCCCACAACAGGACCCGGCTCAGCACCCTGCAGTGCAGAGCCCAGGGTCCAGCCAGAATACCACGGTCCCCCTTTCCTGCTGCTGTCCCCGAAACATCCCAGCCCTCGATCTGGCTGGGCACGGCTGGATGCTTCTTTTTACCGTCTCCAAGTGGGAATGCAGAGGGAGCCGAGCCCTCCCTCAGCAGCCCCTGCGGAAGGTGCTCATCGCTCCAGGCTCTCCTTCCTGGCCATCACTGCCAGCCCCGCACTGCTGTGGAATGATGGTGCTTCCCGGCGACCTGACGGTATCCACAGGGGAGCAGCCAGAAAGGAACAGCTGCTGGCCCCTTCCGTGCCACTGTCCTGCTCGGTGCATCGCTGTCCCCAAGGCTGTAAATCCCCGCGGGATTGGGGCTGGGGCTGATCACCTGGTTGAGTCTCCCATCCCCGCTTCAGCACCGGGGATGCGGTGATGCTCCGTGGATCCTCCTGACGTCTTGCCCCAGTGTCCCCAGCTACAACCGCATTCCTCCAGGGGCCGGTGGGCTGTGTGACACAGGGGCCTGTGACATGTGGCGCTGCCCCCCCACTCCTCCAGTGCGATATTAAGCCACTCAATGCTCTCGGCAACCCCTCAGCCCCGAGCCGCTGCTGGTTTCGTTCAGTGCTTTGAGCCCAAGAGCTCGGAGCGGGAAACGACTGCTCCCAGAGGAGAACGACGGCCTCGGCCCCGGTCCCGGGCGCGCTTTGGACCGGGGGCGCCGCGGGGGAGCACGGAGCGACGCCGTCGGGATTCCGCTCCCGGCCCCATCCCAACCCCGACACTCCCGTGGGCGGACGGCCAGGTGTCCTGGGGTCGGGGGACATCAGCATCCCGGGGCTCGGTCCCGATCCTGGTCTCGGTCCAGCCAGGAGCGGCGCGCGAAAATGTGGGGGCGCCGCACTCGGAGGATTACGGCGGCGGCGCGGACGGGAGCGGAGCCGCCGCCGCCGCCGCTCTATAAAAGCGCGTCCGCGCCCGCCCCGCCCGGGCTGCGGCGGCGGCGGCGGCTCCGCTCCGGGTGCGGCGGTTCCCGGCGACGTCCCGCTCGCGACGGCGCCGGTCGGTCAGTCGGTCGGTCCAGGCGTCGGGTCGCTTCGCGTCTGTCCCGTCCCATCGCATCGCTCGGCGCCGCCGGGTCCCCGTTCCCCGGGTCTCCGACCCCCGCTCTGCGCGGTCGGTTTCTTCCCGCTCCTTCCCGGGTTGGCGGGTTTCCGTGTTCCTCGACGCGGTCAGTTACTTCCCGTCCTTGTCCCGTCCCCCCGGGCTGCCGGGTCCGGTTCTTCGCTGCCGCTGCTCGCTGCCGGGGCTGCCGGCTCCATCCTGCCCCTGCCGGTGCCCGGCCCCCGGTGACAGCGTTGCCCCTCGGGTCTCTTGCAGCCCCACACCTGGCAGCAAGATGTGGCTTCTGGAGCGGCTGCGGGGGGTGGCGGAGAACGGCGGATCTCGGGGAGCGGGGCCGGAAGAATCCCCGCGGGGGTCCCGCTACAGCAACGTCCTCACCCCCGACAAGATCCCCGACTTCTTCATCCCGCCCAAGCTGAGCGCGGCGCCCGCGGAGGCCGAGGGCTCCGAGCTCCCCGCAGCGGCTGCCCTGGGCTCCTCAGTCTCAGAGCAGGACCTGGCCGGGCGCAAGCCCCCGCGCAGTCCCCGCCCGTCCAGCCGGTCCCGGTCCCGGGCGGCCGGCCGGCACATCATCCAGATCGAGACCGCCGAGGACTGGACGGCCGAGGGGAGCTGCGGCACCAACGTAGACCCGCAGGCACAGACGGCCATGTCGCTGCCCTATGTGCCCAAGGCACAGACCTCCTATGGCTTTGCCACGCTGATGGAGAGCCCCCACACGCGGCGCAAAGAGTCGCTCTTCCACAGCGAGCACAGCAGCCTCTGCCCCTCGCCCGTCACCTCTCCCAGCGCCCAGCGCAGAGCCAAGCTCAACGGCGAGAGCAGCCCCCGGGGACCTGCCGACCTGGGCGCAGCCCTCATGCACCCTGGCCGCTACTTCAGCGGCGGTGAGAGCGACACGTGCTCCTCAGCCGAATCCTCGCCCTTTGGCTCCCCACTGCTCTCCCGCTCCGTCTCCCTGCTGAAGCTTTTCAGCCAGGAGAGCCAGTCCAAGGTCATCAAGCTGAAGCAGTCGGTGGCCCGCAACAGCTCACTGTCTACCGACGACAGCTCAGCCGACACCAGCCCCAGCGCTCAGCGCCGTGCCAGGAGCACCCCGGCCGGAGCACAGCCGCCCACAGCCCTGCTGCCCCTGGACCTGCCGCCGGGCCGGGACCGGGAGCACAGCCTGCGGCTGAGCCGGGGTGGGAGCCTGCGCCTGGCTGCCGAGTATGACCCCTCCAACGCCCGGCTGCGCGTGCGCCTCGTCTCTGCCGAGGACCTCTACGATGCCCTCGTCGACCTGCGCAGCATCAACTGCTGCGTCTCGCTGTGCCTCAACCCTGGGAAGCTGCAGAAGCAGCGCAGCACCATTGTCAAGAACAGCCGCAACCCCATCTTCAACGAGGACTTCTTCTTCGATGGGCTGGGCCCCGGCCATGCCAGGAAGATGTCCCTGAAGCTCAAGGTGGTCAACAAGGGCAGCAGCCTTAAGCGGGACACGCTGCTGGGGGAGAAGGAGCTGCCTCTCACCGCCCTGCTGTCCTGCTTGTAGGTGCCTGCTGGCAGCCCTGGAGGGAGCCCACCCACCTGTGGGGCTGGGGTGAGGGGGGTAGGCTGGCTCTGTCCCCCAGTCCCGCTGGAGGAGGGTTTGGAAGGGCCTCCTGAGGAGGGACAGGGCTGTGGCAGAGCATGGGGATCCCCAGAAACAATGCTGCTGTGGGGCTCTGCCAGCACCAGCCCTCCTGTGACAGGGCAGGAAGGGCTGGCAGCCACAGCCTCTGCCCCAGCTCCCCCCCCAGCTCCTGCCTGGGGCTGCATCTCCTGGAGCCCAGCAGGAAGTGGGGAGCCTCCAGTCCAGTCCCCACCAGGAATGATGGAAACACCTGGTGGCCTCTTCTTTCCCTGTGCCTGTGGTCTCCAGCTGGCTGCCACTTAAGTTGGAGGTGGGTAGATCTCTGTAGCACACTTATTGCCACCTCCCAAAGCCCCAGCTCCTGGAGTCAGGTGACAGCATTGATCTCAGCTTTAATTTAAAAGACAAGTTTCTAGTCTTGGAATCCGTGAAGAAAATACTGCAGAGGTGAGCTGAGAGTGGGCCGAGGGCAGTCACCCTGGGGGAGGAGTCAGGTTTGTGGCTTTTGAGCCTTTCCTGGACTCCTCCCAGCCCTGCAGGGCTGCAGAGATGCACAAGTCAGCTTGGTCTGACACCTGCAGCCTCCTGGGCCACCCTTCGTGCCCACCCCAGCACTGTCCACCACTGCTGACCCCTGTGGAAAACTGCCCATGGAGCTTCAGGGGCTTTGGGTTTGCACAAATCCAGGAGGCTGCCTATGCCTGTCCTCTGCCCGCAGGAGGGAGATGCCAGGGGCTGGCATCCCTCTCCCTGCGCACACAGGTGGTCCCAGTCAGTGTCCCAGAAGATGTGCTTGCTGACAAAGGCCGAGGTGACAAGAGTAGCCCTCCCTGAGTGCTGGGACCATCCCAGATGAGGCTGGGCAGGGGGGCAGGCTGAGGTTCCACAACCCTCTGCCCTCCCTTGCCCTGTGGGCTTAGAGTTTTGCGAATGGCTGCACCCACTGAGCAGGAGGGATGTGCCCTGTGAGGCCACCAGGCTCCTGTGCCCAGAGCGATCTGGCTCCCCAGAGGGACCGGTCTGGCTCTCAGTTTCTCTTTGGGAGGGAACGAGGTACTCCCAACCCTTCCCATCCTACCCTGCCATCCTGGCTAACTGGCCTGAGACAGTGGGAGCGGGGAAGATGCCAGCTGGGGCATTTTTGTGGGTAGATAAAATCCGCCGCGTTGTTGTTTGGTGTGGTGTCACCCATCGTGTCGGGCTCTGCATGTTTCTGTGCAGGGAGCAGGATTCGCAGCGCTCCCATCCCCTGTTGCAACATGTGTGGACACACATGCACACACGTGTCCCTCTGTGTTAACCTCTGTGTTGGCAGTAGATGTTCCTTCCTTGTCCTTTGCAGCAGATGGCAGATCTCAGTGTTGGCTATTTATATCTGAGGCTGATCTTTTGCAGTGTTTCACTTTTGTCTGTAAATACGTTTCAGGTATGCGAGGCATGGTTCTGATCGCACCGTGTTTGCATGTCGGGGGAATTTGGGATTTTGGGTGATCGTGGCTGTTTGTTGAGCTTGTGGCTGAAAACAAACCATGCAGGACATAAGGAGCAGACATGTCCCTCCTTCACAGGGAGTTTCCCACCTGAGCCTTCCCAACACTCCCCGAGATGATCCTCGGCCCCCAGGTACCCAGGCTCATCCTGGGGGCAGATGGGGACTCTGCGGAAGGTGGGACAGGGAGATAGGCCACAACCCTGGGTGCAGGGTGAACATCCTGCCCCTGAGCAGATCTGGGGCAGGAAGGGGACCCTGCCCAGCTGGCTGCTGCCTGACAGACCCCTACACTCCCCACCAGTAGCTTGCGCTCCCTGGGGTGCTGTGCCTGTGAGGGGTTGGGGGGACCTGGATGCTGCTGGCGGGGGTGGACCCAGAAGGCTGCAAGGGGAGGGGGAACAAGAGCTGGGCAAAAATTCTGGTGCTCTGAGAGGTTTGAGGGGTGACACATCCCCCACAGAAGAGTTGTGTGCCTTTGGGTTTGGGAAAGGGGGATGCTGAGAGCAGAGCCCTGGGATGCTCCTTGGGTTGGGGCTGGCCCTGGAGGGACATTCAAGGACCTGGGGACTGTTGTCCTGCCCCACCCATCTTATCCCAAGGCTGTCTCTCCAAAGTCAGGTGTGTGGCCACGCAATGAGCCCTGGGATGTGGTGCTGCGAGCCCTGCTCTGTGCTAGGCTGGCAGCGTGGGAGCCAGGACTGTTGCCTGGCTGGGTCTCTCCTCTGCTGGAGCTATTTTCTATTGTTCCTGCTTTGATATTTTTGTGTCTGGATTTAATGATGCATTTTTGGAGTGAAAAATATATTAATACCTGAATGGAATGTTTCTTTACAGATGATTTCCTCTTTTTAGTGCAATAAAGTAATTTCTAAAACAGATACAGGTGTGGCCCTGGCTTCTGCTTTTCCCAAGGTATTCCCCATTGTCACCCCTGTTGGCTCCCTGTGCGGTGGAGGAGGGGAGCAGACCTGGGACCTCAGCAATGTCCAGACACGGGGCAGCACTGCTCTTCTGGGTGCTGCTTCCCTTTCCAAACAGCTTTGCAGGGGCACAAGGTGCTTTTGAAGCTCTTCTGTGGTGCTGCTGACCAGCCATGGAGTGAGGTGTGAGTGAATCTCCTGGGGAGAAGTAGGCACATGTAGAAAGGTGCTGTTCCTGCTTGGGGGGCAGGCTCAGGGCTGTCCTGAGCCAGGGCAGTCCCCTCAGGGCTCTGGTGAGGGAGGGCCCACGAGCCCACACTCTGTGGGTATCTTTACTCTTCCTCACCTGCTTTCCCAGTCTGATCCCTGCAACCCTTCTTGGCACTGCTACTGATGAAGAAGATGACAATGGTTTTGTGCTCCCTGTCAGCAGTGTGGGCTGGAGCTCTGCCCTCATGGGGGGCTTTGAGCTCCAGGAGACCCTCAGAGGGCTCTTTGGCACACAGCTGAGCTCAGAGCCCGTGGCAGTGCAGCAGCAGCTCTTGCTGCTCTCTGAGTTTCCCAGCCCTTTTCCCCTCAAACCCAGCAACTCTTGCCTGGCAGCGTTTGGGCATGAAACACAACCTGCAGGACAGGTCAGCCGTGAGCGACAGGTGTCACATGAGCCACTCCCAGGGTACCCCCAGCCCAGCTGTCAGCATTCAGGTTACTCTCTTTTCTCCCCATCTGTCACTTCCAATTCTGCTTTTAGCCAGATGCTACTGAAGAAAACAGGAATGTTTGTCTATTACCTAAATGCCACTTTTCTAATTTCCACCATTCTGATAATTTGACATTTTTGGTAGCTATAGAGGCTGGGTGGGAACAGATCTACTCTCTCTCCTCTGGCCCCCACAGAGGTGGAGAAAGAAGCTTGGCAGGTGTCAATAATTTAAGTAGTGCTTTTTCTAGAGGTGCAAAGCTGCAGCAGTTAGTAACGAAATGAGGCTGATTGAGTTAGTCTGAATGAGAGGGGATGGGGTCAGCCCAAGCACACAAAAATCCCTGGAAAATGTTCAACATTCAAAGTGCTGGAAGCAGCCAGAGGGGTGGAGAGGGGTGTCTTGTGGGGGAAGATTTAACTCTGAATTTATAATTGAGTCACTGTGGGAAGAAAATGTGGCTGCTTTACTGGACCTGGGAGGGTTGGGTCATGCTGAGAGGAGCCTCTGAGCTGTAAGCTGGTGGGGGGGAGCAGGGATATGTCCCCACTCCACAACGGAGCCCCTTGGGTCAGGGGATGCCCAGGTAAAGCACAGCCATTGGAGGCTGCCAGGTGAGTGCCTGAGCCCAAGAGCAGCTCTGTCTGTCGCTGCTGACACCAAGGGATGTCTGAGCCCCGGGATTCCTCTGGCCAGAGGTCCTCAGGCTGCTGCAGCTGCAGTGCACATTTGGGTGGCCAAATCCGTGCAGGAAATTGAGGCAGAGCAGGGGAGATGGGGGAGATGGCCGGATGTGGAGGAGCCGGTGGCAGCCACTGCCCCCTTTGCCTTTATCTCTGGAGTGAGGCTCACCTGGAGAGGCACACACAGGCTTTGGCTATTTTTAGTCCTGTGTTCCCACAGCGCAGAGGAGTCAACTTCTGAGAAAATTGCCTGGAGCTCATTTAGCCATGGCGTGATGGCTGGCGAGGGAGGGAGAGGGCAAATTAGAGGCTCAATCTCATCTGGGGCGTGAGGCAGGGCCAAGGCTCCCCGGGAGGGTTCTACAGTAAGGAGGCCAGCAAGGCTGACCCTGCTGGGGGAAACCCTGTCCCTGCTTTGTCCCCCAGCCAGGCAGGGGGTCCTGGGGCCAAGTGCTGTCTTTGACCGATGCTCGGGGATCTTTGGCAGTGGCTGGAGCAGCTTTTGGCTGAGCAGGGCTGCAACAGCTGCTTCTCCTCTCCAGATTTTTGGGTGTGTTGGGGTGGGGGGGAGCCTCGCGTGCTCCTCCGGGCAGCCCCAGGAGAGCCATTTCCCTCCCCCCACCCACGACCCGGCTGCCGATTTACTGTTTCAGTCAGAAAAGCATCTTCCCGTTGCCTGGCAACGTTCGGCCGGCGGCGGGAGGGGGCCCACGCGGGGCTCCACGGGGGGAAGGGGCGGTGATGCGGGTCCTGCGCCGGAGCGAGCCGGGAGCCCGCGGCGACTCCGCCACCTGGTTCTGGGCACCTGGACCGGGCCGGCGGGACGCGCTGGTGCGGGACCGGCTGTGCAGAGGCGCGGGGCGGGCCAGGGAAGTGGCGGGCGCGCCCCGGGCAGTGCCGGCTGCAGGAAGCATCGGCCTCCCCCGGCACCGCACTTCAGCGCTTTATTGCGAGCATTTGTCTTCCATGGCAGCGTGTCTGCTTTAAAGCGGAGAGGAGAGACTCCCACTGTTACTGGGAGGAAAACAGAACTTAATTGAATCCCACAATCTCTTACAGTCACATCAGGCGAGAGAGAGTCACATCAATGGAGAGCAAATCCCCTGTGCTCTCCCTGGGCCCCTGTACCCTGGCACCCTGCAGTCCGTGCTCCTCCAGGGGACGTGGAAACCCCCGGGCTGGGTTCCCAGGGGTCCGCCGGGAGCAGAGATGACCTGCGGCTCCTTGTCAGCCCGAATACACTCGGTGCTTTGCTGAAAGCCTGTGCTGTGGTAGCAGCCACCAGGATGTACCCAGGGCAGGCACTGTCAGCCCCAGGGCACACCCTCTCTCTGTTCTGCTTTTCCGTTTGCACTTCGAGGCTAGCAATCCAACCAGGACCTGGGCCCAGATCTTGCCTCCATAGCCAGGAAAAAGCAGCAAGGGGACAGGAAGCGTCACCTCGGACACACCCTCTCCATTAATTCAAGCCCCTGGAGCCATCCCCGGCTCAGGCCTGGGGCCAGGGTGGGCATACAGAGCATGTGGAACTGTGCCAGGGGAGTTCAGTGAGTGTGTGGTTGCAAGGCTGGATGAGGGCGAGGGCAAAGGCTGTTTTGCAGGGTGAAGGATCTCTTCTGCCTTGCCTCTCCTCTCCCTTTACAGTGACCTGCTCCTCACTAGCTACCTGCTGCAGTTTGAAATGCTACCTTTAAAATGTTTGCAAAATTCCCAAAGCGTCAAGCAGGCCCAGGTGGGAGGGGAAAAAAATGGCATAAACAAGCAGACAGGAGGGTTTGTTAAGCGCCAGCAGCTGCTGGCAAACAATTTAATATCAGTGCAGCCGGACACCGATCAATACAGCATTTGGGGCCATGGACTGGCACCTGTGCAGGGGGCCTCTGGCTGAGCCCAGGGTGGCTGTGCTGCACAGGGGTCCTGCTGCAGTGGAGGGCACCCAGCTGGACCCCGCATGGAGCAGGCCTGGGAGATGCTCTGGGTGCAGAGCTCCTCTTCTCCCCTTGCTTCCCACCCAGACTCCAAAGCCCCAGGTGAGAGGACGCGTCTCCATCTCCATCCCCACAGCTCTTTGGGTCTGTCCTAACATCCTGCCTGCATCAGGGCCATTCGACTTGGTGGGCTGTGGTGTGAGCAGGGCTCCAGCCCAGCGTGGGACCACATCTGCCTTTGCGGCCAGCCTGCCCGCGGAGGCACGTACGGACACGGCATGGGAGCTGGGCTGGCATTGCCATGGCAATGAAGATAACAGCAGCTGCCAGGCAGAGATCAGGGAGGGCAGGGAGCTCCAGCAATGCTGCAGCCACACTCACCTGTGCCAGGGCAGCACCAGGATCCCAGTCCAGGTCCCATCCTGTGACATCCCCTGTCCGAGCCCTGTAATGGCCCAGACAGCAGTGAGCGTATGTTCACTGTGGTGAAGCCCTCAGCACCCTTCACACCCTTGACAGAGCCAGAGGCTGCACTGAGAAAAGCATAAAAATATAGATTCAAACCCTCCAATCTCTCACTGCCAGGCTATAATTAATTCCCATTTGCAGCTCTGTCCAATTTCCCTCACACAGCTCCCAACTCAGTCCAATTGCCGTATGAGGTTTCTGTAATCGCTAATCTTATCGAGTGCACCGGTGTGAGGTGAGAACACTGCAATTAGCTGGGGCAGGAGCTGCAGGTGAGCTGCTCAGCCAGTGTTTTGGGGAGGACACATGCGAACTCCAGCACTTTCCAGGGCCATCCCTTGCCCAGTCCAGGCAGGGTGGGATGGTCAAGGGGACTGAGGCCATGGCTGGTGCCCAAGCCACTGAGCACCAGCAGCTGTTGGGAGCTTCACCAGCAGTACAGTCCTGCTGCCAGCCTCTGCTGGAGGGGAAGCTCACCTCTCCCGGTCCCCAGTCACCATGGTGCTGCCAGAGGAGTCAAGGAACCTGAAGAGGATGCTGGCGAAGAGTCCTTAAGCAGCCCCAAACCCTCCCAGCAGGCTCAGGAAAATGGGGTATAAACTCACCAGAGATCCTGTTCTGAGCTGCCGCTTGGGAGTTGATGCACTTTTTGGCGGACAATCTGTTCTCTCCCACCCCTCTGGCTGCCTGCCCACTTCATCTCCCGGCAGAGGCGTCAGGTGAGGGGAGCAGGTCTGGTGCCCGGGCCAATTCAGTGAAAGCCCCCAGGTGCCACAGGGCCAGGCTGGGCTCAGCGGGCAGCACTCGAGGGCACTGCTCCTGGGTAGCAATGGGGTCACTGCCTGTGCAGGCAGACCCCGGGCCAGACATGGCTGTGGAGCAGTTCACTCTCCCAGATCCTCTTCCAGATCAGGCCAGTGATCTTCAGCTGGGACAGATGGGGCTCACGGGGCTCTGCTCATCTGTGAGTAGCCAAATATGTTGTGGTTTTGCCCAGTGTGGGGAGGTTGGGAGTGCCTCAGCCTCGGTCACCGCTCATGCCAGTCGTCCCTGGGGCGCAGGCAGGTGGCTCATACAGCCCTGAGCTGCACTTGCCAGCACCAAGAGAGTGTTGCAGCGCTGGGCCCTGCACAGGCAGGTGCCCTGCTGATGGCACACGGCGGGGGTGGTGAGGTCCC